GTGAAGATTCCTAAACATCACTAAAATTAAATTCAAAATACCAAGTACAAATACTTTGCCAATAAAGTAAAGATAAACGATTTGCTTTTCCTAATGGATAAGATAAACAAATCCTAAAAAAAATTTCAATGTTTGATAAATATAAATTTTTAAAAATAATATTTGGTACTCGTTATGGGGATGACCTAGTCTCAAGTGCCAAATACTTAAAGAGACCGAGACAGAATAAACTCGAGGTTGACTAAAGATTGTGGAAAAGAGTAAAGATCAACATCACTTTGGCTTGAAAATAAAGGTTTTCTATGTATTTAATCTTTTACACGAAAACAAGAAGGGTGAAACTCTCAAAACATATTATTATCTTTTACAAATCGTTTAACTTGTAAAGGTCATATTTGTTGAGGAACATGAAGGATATTGTTTAAATTTAGCTTTCAACATGGTGTATGAGTATAACTTTTGCCAATGTGTAAAATAGACAAGTACTAGCCATTACTAACCCGAAGCTAATCTAGACCTCGATATAGCTCAAAGGTGCTGAAACTAGCCAAGTATGGTGTGATATGATGAGTTGCCTCGTGTCCAGTACACCATGGATTGGTGTATATGGCTAAAGACCTTACTACCAAGACATTAGCAATAGGTCGATTGGCATGATGATGTTGTTATGGTTAGTAGGTGGTCGTGTGTTACCGTAAAGATTAAATCTAATGCTTTTCTCGATTGTCATTATTCTATCGAGACCCATGAAGTTGTTGAATTTGTTAAGAAAGCAACTATGACCTCACCTATGGTGGTTTCTACCTTTTCTTCGGGTATTGCCGATGAATCGATTAGTGGAGAAGCCATTTAACTTGTTGGTAAAATTAGCCATAGGTGGTGTATGTAGTAATGATGCACTCAAAGAGACATTAAAAATACTTTCATGATTAACAAACTCGTGGCTTAACAAAAACTTATGTAGATTAGTAAAATTTACAGGATTTGTTCTTGTAAAGAGTGTAGCGATGATCTATTTGAAGTTATTAGAGAGACTTTTAAATACACATTGATTAAAATCTATTGAAAAGAGAGGACGACTCCGTCGCTAACTCATTTTACACGATGCAAGAAGATAAACACCGATTCTTTCGATTTTTATCGTAGCTTTTACAAAGCTAGGTGAAGATGATTATAGGTAGTAGAGCACTCTCAAAGGAGAGGCTAGTGCACTTTCAAGAACACTCCAAAAATCATGAAAAATAGAGCAATTGATGATCATGGGCTAAACATCACCGGAGAGAGAGGCTATAAAAGTACTCATACAAAGTTGGATCTTGTTAGATCTATGATTGATGTACGGGATTTACCCGAAAAGTAGCTAATTCTATAATAGCCAAATGGCTAGGAGGACACGAGTTGTTCTCATTTATGAAACTCGAATAAGCCTTGGCCTAAGAGAAATAGTTTCATCTAGACACGTTAAAGCAAAAAATTGATCCGGGTGAGTTTAAAGGGGATGAAGTGGTGTGAGTTTATAAACCGACTCATTGGTTATAATAGGTTCATTGTTTGGGATGGATCGATAGATTGCGGGAGAGGATGTGTTACTTGAAGAGGCCATTTTTTTAATCGAAAAAAGAAAGAAAGAAAAATACGATGAATCCGGTAGTTTAATTTTTTGACGAAAGAAATGGCAAAGATAGGAGAAAAGAAGATTGTATGCTTAACTTTTTTTTCTTTGTTTTTTTTGTTTTTTTTTTGTAAAGACACAAATGATAGTGATACCTTGTCATGCTCGATACCAAATCGAAGTAAAGAAAAGGAGTTCAAGTTAAATTTTATGATTGTATCTATTGTAAGACTTTAATTATCCTTTTATAATGTTACAAGTGTAAGTTATATAGAACTTTATAAGCGAGTAAACTTTGATATGATTTACGAGATAGAAAGCGAGAGAAAGAGTTCTATCATATAATATCTAGCTAATATTATCCGAGTCTAATAACCGTAAATGGTTATGATTTCTCCGAGGTTGTTGAAATTGACTCGGACTTACCTAAAGTAGGGATTTATTCTAAAAGTGATAGTGAATCAGTTTTAAATATGTGAAGCCTTAAACGTTAAACTAAAGAATTTTCATTATGCAGAGTGTAATTTACACACGAGGTAGAGGATATGAGGCTTTGTCTCACATTTATCGCACTAAAAGTGTGAGACTACCAAGTAACATTCTTGGCCTCATAGCCTCATAGTCGTCATTCATAACATAACCTTATCGACCATTGTTCATCCCTCTCTTAGCCTTTAAGTGGCCTTAATTGTCCAAACTCTCCGTTTTTTCCACAACCCATAACACAATCCTATCGACCATCATCCTTTCCACTCCCAACCTTCAACAGCTTAGACTATCTTTTTTGACCACCTTTAGTCAATTAGTCGTGCACGCCTCTTCTCTTTCCTTCACTTGAAAACTAAAAAGCTTCACATACTCACACTCATCTCGATCCTCTCAACTTTCAATTCCATGATTAGTTATTATCTTTGTAGGGAAGAGAAGAAGAAGGAACAAAAATAGCGTGTTATAGTTTGTACGCCTAAAATTCTAGAAAAAGATTTTTCATTAATCTTAAAAAAAATGTTGAACGGATTCATAAAATGATGATACAAATAATTAATTTGTTTGTGTCCGGATTTTTTTGTTGCAATAAGGATACTACCGTTGTTTTGTTGGTGCTCTTTGTAAAAAAGTATGACCCCGTGTCTTATTGGATTAAAGGTTTTGTTAGTTGAACTAGTAGTTGTTTGTTGTTGATCGAGGAATGGAAGCCATTATTATGTGTATGATAGATCTAGTTTACGAGTTTCTCACATTACATCTCGAATTTTTTTGTTTTTTCTTGAATATTTTGATAGATTATTTAGTTTAATTGGTGTTTTTTTTTAATAAGAAATGCTAAGACTTGAAAGTTAATATTTATTTTGATCGATTTTAATTCACTATGGTATTTTTACTATATGCTAATTGGATTATATTTTAATCATAAATGCTCAAATGATAGCATGTCTTTAACTCCGCTAAAAAAAATATGGCTACGTATCCTTTAACATACATGTGTTGTTGTTGTGAACAAACAAACATCAATGGGTTTTTCTTTCTAATAAATGATCTGGATGTCGGTGAAACTAAGGAAATGTTTATAGAAAGAAACACACTGCAGCAATTTGATAAGAAAATTTTACTTTTTGTCTCCGAGACAATTATTCCTATAGTCCTAATGGAATTTATAAAGGTTCTATGTTGTAAGTTTTTTCTTGTTAAGATATTCATCTTCACATAAAAAATTTTAAAAAATTTATCCATATAGAAGATTTTATATATTTTAGACTAAATGCATTATATATATATATAACTTATAAAATGCAAAATAATGGATATAAAAGTTTATTTTGACAAGAAAATATAATTTTGGTTTGACATGACTTATAAAAAATAATTATTTTTAAGTTATAATTCAATTTTTTTATAAATAATTTAATTTAAGAATATATTTAATACAAAACTATTCAAAATAACTTTTTCTAGAAGTAAGACAATGTAAGTTAGAATTAATAAATCGAAATTTAAATTAAAAAATAAAGACTTAATTTTGTAACAACCTTTTAAATTTAAGTTAAAATTGTTTTTAATGAAATTATTTTAGTCAAGTTTTTTTTTTATATATATATAAACATGATTATTTTTATTAAAAAATAAATAAAAATATAGTTTATACAATGATTTCTTATAATTTTTAAATGAGACTACAATTCTAAGTATATATGCTTGATATAAAGTTTGAAATATATTGAATGATGTTTTTCTAAGTAATTGACAGAAAATAAAAAACATATAAATTAATAAATAATTTTTTTTAAAAGTGATGCTATGCATGTGATGCTTATGCGCGAGGGCCAAAAATATATGGTTTAGAAATAAAAAATCCATTAATAAATAACAAAAATAAAAATAACATGTGTTTTTATTTTTTCTTTTGTAATGAAAATTTATCGAGATTAATTTTAGAGTTTTTTTTTTGATAAATTAATTATGCATATTAACATAAAACATTGAAAATTTATTGTTTTTTAAAGATGTTTTGAAATCAAAATTTCTCAAATAAACAATTAAAATTATGTTTAAAAACACACCTATGGTACCATAATTTTCAAATAGAGTTTTTTATGTTAATATTACCGATTGTTTTAGGAATATATATATATAATTTGCATACTTTTAACAATTAATTTTCTCATCAATAACTGTTGCCTTAATTTTTTGACGCAATCTTACGAAAAAAATAAATTACACTTACACATAATTTTTATTTTAATTTTGATAATTGAAACTTGTTCTTTATATTATTTATAAATTTTATTTAAGAATTCACAGATAAAGAAAAACAAATCATGTTTTTATTCAAAGAAGGAAATCTGTTTTTTTTTTTAAAAATAGAATTGATTAAGTACAAAACTTTGATTAAAAAAAATCACAAATTTAGCTCCTTTAATTTCAATATATTTTAATGTATCCATAGCACAATAAAAATTATTAAATTAAAATAATTTTTCTAAATAATTTCCTTACGGGTAATGGTCTATCTCAAATCCCAATTCACTTTGGGAGTATATTCATTATCTTCAAAATATTTAATCTAGTACTTTTAAATTAATTAATAAAAATTTTCCCGGACCGATGTCTGGGTATACACTATTTATTATATTTAAGCTTCGTTTGTTTTTCTAATTGGGCCGTTGATCCGTACATATAATTTAATTGGGCTGCTCAAATCTAATAAAGAAAAGGAAAAAAGAAAAAAGAAAAAAGAAAAAACAGTGGCATCATATGCCAGTGGACTGGTCCAAAAAGATGAGTTTTGAAACCTTAGCAAAATCCCCCTTTTCAGCTTCTCAAAAACCCAAAACCCAACTTGAAGCAGAGAAAGAAAGGAAGAAGAAAAGGAAAAAAAAAAAAAAAATCTATGGAGGAGACGAGGGGTGTCCTCCTCAAACAAGAAAAAGAGCCATGGCGAGTTCTGGAATTCTATAGTGGCATTGGTGGCATGGTAATCACTGTCACATCAACAACCCAAACACACGCATATCTACATATCTATTTATGCATCACTAAGTAATTATTTCCTTTTTTTCTTTGTGTTTTGTTAGAGATATTCACTAATGAAGGCTGGTGTTAATGCAAAAGTAGTGGAAGCTTTTGACATAAATGACAAAGCTAATGACGTTTATGAGCACAATTTTGGTCACCGTCCCTATCAGGTTTGGACTTTGAGTTCTTTATTTTGTAGGGTTGTTCAATTCTGAACGTGTTGGCATCTTAGCTTTTGTAAATGTGAGCTTTTGTGGCGATTTATTGTTTGAGAAGCTCCCATTTTGCTAACAATTGCTATATGGGCATTGAGATCCTGAAATAAGTATTCTGATCTTGTAATTTTGAGTTGTTGTGTTGCTTTATCCTTTGGGAAGCTCTAAAAATGGCTTCCATCAAGTTCCCATTTTCTATATTTCTATACGGGATTGGTTTACTGTTTATAAACGTTTGTGCTTGTTTGGCATTCAAGCTGGAGTAAGTTTTAACTACATAGCAGTTGTGCTTTGAGCCTACAATTTTTTAAATTCTTTTCATTTCATCTTCTTAAATATTCTGGGAACTATAGGGTAATATTCAGACTCTGACAGCAGCTGATCTGGACAATTATGGGGCACACGCGTGGCTACTTTCACCTCCTTGCCAACCCTACACTCGACAAGGTCAGAACTACACATGTTTATGCTTTTTTTTTTTTGTGGATTGTTTTGTGAATTAGGGGAAGTGAATTTGTTTGACATATTAATTAGGTCTTCAAAAACAATCTGGTGATGCTCGAGCAGTTTCTTTTCTCAAGATTCTTGAACTTCTTCCTCATACTAAGCAACCTCCAAATATGTTGTTCGTGGAAAATGTTGTTGGATTTGAGGTTTGTTCCTAAATAGTCTGACTTAGCAAGTGATTCAAATTGTAAAATTTTTGCTTATTCTTTGTTTTGTTTGCCTCTTCGTTGCAGACGTCAGATACACATGCAAAAATGATAGAGATGTTAGCGAGTTCTGATTTTATTACACAAGAATTTATCTTGAGCCCGCTGCAGTTTGGTGTGCCTTATTCCAGGCCACGTTATTTTTGCTTGGTAAGCCCCCTCTCTCGCTACACATGGACACATACAAACTGTTAAGCTTTTTTCCCACCGTACACATTCAAGAGCATAATAAAGACTGCAATTCTTGAACTTGACTTTGAGATTGAATCTGGGACAACTTGTTGCTTGACATCTAAAAAATCAATATTTGTGTAAGATAGAGCATAAATGACAAAAGCATATTGAATCCTGAAACGTTTGTGTAAGGTTTTCATGTACGATTCTGCATCTGTTTTATCAACTTGCATCCTTATAATATGTTTGGTAATGCAAAGTTTGATATACAGTTTCATTCCTGATTCTTGATCAGATTTACTATTTTAATAAAAACAGGGGTGGATCCAGGAATATTTCTTAGTGAGGGCAAATTTACCATTAGCTATCCTAAAAGTATACGCATATGTGTGTGTGTGTATATAAATTAAACTAATTAACATAAAAAGGCGAAAAAATATGCACACATCTTTCATTTTTTGTCAAGAACATGCATTTTTGGGAGATCAATACTATTTGGTGGTGGCACTTTTGCATTACACTAAATCTGTTGGGGCAAATGTAACAAAAAATGCAGGTTACGGGGGCAAACTCCAACTTTTTCTATGGATTTGGGTAAGGGCAGCGTGGGCAAGTGCCCACATTGTCCACACCATAAGTCCGCCACTGACTAAAACAGATTTTTTGGTATTAACATCCTGTTACCAAAACAAGTAGATAGCCCTATAAGAGCATTGTGATCTTTTATCCCAAAAGTGACAAAAGTGATGAGAAATATATATAGTTGAAATATGTCAAATTTGAATGCCTCCTGTACTCGTTTTACAAAATTAAGTTCTTTGATAAAGTCCAAAAGCATTGTTATTTGGACAATAGGTGTATTGTGATAATAATGTCACTGTCACTTGTATTCATTAACCGCACAGGCAAAAAGAAAGCCTTTATCCTTTCAGCACGAAGTCTGCAATAACCAGTTGCTTTGGTCCCCTGGTCCATTGTTTGAGCATAATGAAAATACCGTAACAGATGGATGGGATAAACCACCAGCAAACTGGGATGATTTGATCCATTCTTGTGAGTCAGTTGAGAGGTTTCTTGAATTCAAGAACTCCAGCTACCGAGTAGCTGGAGGAACTGGAACTGATGTCTCAACAGATTGTTCTGGAGCTTTGGAGAACGTTGATGAAAGAAATCTTAGAACGATGATCCAGTATATCGTTCCATTAAGCTTGATAGAGAGGTGGGGAAGTGCTATGGGTATCCTTGTTATTTTTGCTTCTTTATATTATTTTCCACCTTCATATTCACACCTCATTTAATCATCTCCTTTATCTAAATGTATTCCTAAAAGAGTATAGATATTGTCTATCCCGATTCAAAGCGATGCTGTTGTTTTACTAAGAGTTATTATAGATATGTGAAAGGCACTGGATCGCTCTTGGCCACTATTCAGGTATGATTTCATTTCAAACTTTCAGATATATGGCCCTGGAGCTGGGAATTTTTTTCCCTTCTTTCTGGCTGAGCTATTAGTTGTTAAGTCCAGTCGTAGATCTATTTTAAAAAATCATGTTCAATTGCTTTCAATCTTCCTAAGCACTTCATTCAACATATTAGATTGGATCTACTGCAAGGTCCTCTCTGTGATTAGTGCTAAACAGAATAACTCGGTATCTATTGATTTGCATATCACTTTTGATGGTCATATGGACCCAAAAGAGTTTGCTTGACAAAACTAGTTAGTTGCCTATTCTTCAATTTGATAGTTCATATTTAGTTCAATATATGGTTACATTAAGTGCCATGCTAGTCCTTTTGGACATTCCTGATATTTATGTTACACCGTTTTTAATCCCGTGTTTTCTTTTGACATGACATTTACAAATGGATATCCAGCCAAACATCAAGGGAAAAGCATCTTTGTTGAAGGAGCAAGGCCTTAGATATTTTACCCCTAGGGAGGTGTGTAGATTTTGCTTACATCTCTTTTTGTTTAGCTTTTCATTTGTTTTAACCAATTTCATCATTTCTTTGTTATTAGGTTGCTAATTTGCATTCCTTCCCTGTGGAGTTTCAGTTCCCAGAGGATGTAAGCCTTAGACAATGGTATGTTTTATTTCGTTTGCAGCTATTTTTGAAATGTTACAACATGCAACTGAAGTAGACTGTTCATTCAGGTTTCTTTTCTTTAGGATGTGTGCCTCAGGCGGAGCAAGATAATGATATTCCCTTCTGATAAAAAATGAAAGATTACTTGCATATTTTTTCAAGCATAAAAGCAACCAAGAGCTCTATATTATATATCAACTAAACACTGTCTGCAAAATATTTGAAGTTGGAATAACACAAAACAAACATCTAGGCGAATCTAGGTTTCTTGCTGAATTGCAAGGCAACTTGCAATTTTGAATTCATTTTCTAATTCGCATGTTTGAATACCATCTTTTACATTTCATTTTTGGTTTCCTTTTCCTCTTGGGATTAAGTTAAAACAGTTGCAGGGGTCTGCCTTGCCAGTTTCTTTGTTTTTAATATAAATACTGTGCTAGACTGTTGAATCAATTTACACCTTTTGTAGAGAACATCACTATGGAACTATCTAATGCATCTGACTTGGCTATTTTTCTGTTGCAGTTATGCATTGTTGGGAAACAGTTTAAGCATAGCAGTGGTTGCTCCCTTACTCCGCTATCTGTTTTCTCAGCAATCATGATTTTTCAACCTAAGAGCGCTTTTCTAGTGATTCTTGGCTCACTCTTTCAAGTTCTATACCACTCCTGATTTCCCTTGCTAGGGGTCCTAAGTTTGTTCCCCCATTTTTAGTCAGTATGGGGGTAATGAGTTAAAGAGCTAACTTATGAATGAGAAGGTCTTGAGTTTTTACTGCTGTAATCAAGCATTCTGATGGTAGCGGAACTCAAGAGACACTCTAATCATGTCCCATTTTTTCCCTTCTCATACCATAATGGCTAGGAATGTAGAGATTAAACGCCCGGTTTGGTGCCGAGTGTTGTATCAATTGTACAGATATCATATAGGGAGGAGAAGGATGGAAGGAAGCTCTTTCAACATATGGCAATTTATGTATCATCTCTGCAGGCGACAAAGCATCTTCCTCTTCCGAGTTGTTTTTATTAATCTATTAATTAGATTCATCGTATGTACCTTAGTGCCTAATGTCCAGGATTCCATGTTTATTTTTCTATTTGTAGGGTGCAGGTTTGTGGTGTTGCGTAGCATTCACCTCCTCTTTCCCAGTTTTTTAGAGTGGTTGTATGATTAACTTGCCTCTTATTCCAGGGAGTGATAGCAAATGTATTTTTAGACAAGTAGTTTAGAAATTTTAAAAAAGAAGAAAAGAATTACAAGTTTGAGGTGGATTGCTAGTTTGCTTTGAGCTATCTACCATATTTGACATTGTTGACTAGGGCGGGAATGCCATTGTTGTTGGACATTGAGCTGGTTTTGAAATTAAACAAGGTCTCCAGACTAGTTTAGCCATTGAATAGATTTCGATGAGGATCCTTAATAACTTTATCTGTTGGCCTCGAGTGATTGATTCTGATACAGATTAGCATTGCATTGTTGAACTTTTGTGGTGTGTTTTGTTGTCCAACATGACTCGAATGTTCTGTTAAATTGGGTTGGCATCCCATTTTTAGGGCTTTTTGCATCTATTGATAGTTGCCGTTGGTAAAGCATCACTGAGACCAATTCACTATTTTCTCTAGGTGTATAGAATTCAGGACGGAGGTTGGAGTCTGCATAAAACAGTGATCCAAGTCATTAGCCCAAATTCACTTGTAATTTTTGGTAATTATATCCTCTTACCTCATTGCAAAAGTGAACAAATGAGGATAACTACCTTTCGACTTCACATGAATTGAATGAAGAATCACAGCATCAGGAGAATTGAATAAATTCTTTAGAATTGCGCGTTTGTTATTATTATGGTGTGGATGCCAAGGACCGAACCAAATCAAACAGACCAAGACTATCTCATAAAAAAGAAAAAGAGGTGTGACAAAACATAAGTAATATGATTGAATAAAGATTGAAATTCAATAAACACAACGTGTTAGCTTGCTGATGATTAAGCATTGATTTATAAGTTAGGTTCAGGATTTCATATTTATGGTCAGTATTTTTTAGTAGTTATTCTCAAAATACTCGAGGCCGTGTATTGAGAAGTGCTCCTTAGCCAAGTTCAGAGGAATTAGTTTTGAGATATGCCAAAGCTAATCTGTTTTGGAAAAAAAAAAAAAAAAAATTAAGAAGGCTGCTAACGTTGACGTCTAACAATTGATGTGGATTACAAGGTAGGATTGAACAAAACAGATACCAAATGCTATCTTAATGGATTTCGTGTAGATGTAAGCGCATGAATACTACATATCATGATAACCTTGAATGGAAATTTATTTTTTGTCATATATCATATGCAGGCTAACATTAAGTAAAGTTGTCGTATTTTGTTTAATTTCATTTTCTAAATAGTATCTTAAATGAATTCCATTCTCAAGTCTTCTTCAATCCTACATACCAAATGCTACCTCAAATGAATTCCACACAAGGGTGAGAGTAGGAGGAATATTCTGGGATATGGTTGAACAAAAAATAATTTTTTTCACAGATGAAGTTTTCTTGTCCAATCTTCATAAAATTTTACCTTAATGGATTCCTGTGCACGTGACACCATAAAGCTATAACTAGGAGTATTTTAGGGCCACTCCATTGAAAATTTGTAATTATCAAGGCCTATAAAGTGTCACAGGCCCAGCCCATGATCACCTCACTTCTTCTCTCCATTAAAATGTCAAGAGGAGTGGTGTTCAACTGTTAAAGCTACTAGGGGTTTAGGTTCTTCTTTCTCTTCTCCTCTTCCCTTTCTGCAATTCAAAAACCAAAGTAATAAATGAGAAATTCAGTAATTTCTTCATCAATCTCTCATTTTACTCTCTGCTCAATCAAAAGCCCAAAGTTCTTCTCTTCACAACCTGAACGCCCCATTAACCTTATCTCAGAAACCCCACTTTCCCAGAGTTTTCCCGAGAAAATCACCGATTGTCCTCGAAAATCCATACCAACATCACAAGAATCAATTTTGACAGAAACCAATGTCCTCAATACCCTTCCAAATCAAAAAAATGATCCACAATCAGCTGAATTCCACACCAGCCCCATCTCAGAATCTCCACCTTCACGGCTTCCCAATCCTAACTCCAACTTTCCCGAGAAAATTACCGATACTCCTGGAAAATCTGTACCAACCTCACAAGATTCAGTTTTGACACAAACCCAATTCATAAATACCCTTCTAAACCACCAAAATGATCCGCAATCTGCTCTTAGTTACTTCATTTGGGCTAGTAAAAAGAGAGGGCTTATCAGAAGCGTCGATGCATTATGTGTTTTGCTTCACATTTTGACCAAGTCTGTGGAGACCTGTGGAAATGCTAGAAATCTGCTCGATCGATTTGTTTCGGATGATTGGGGACCTGTGCCTAGTGTTGTTGTTGATAGGCTAAACGAGAGTTCAAAAAGATTGGATTTTGAATCTGATTCTCGGGTTTTTAGTTACTTGTTGAAGAGTTATGTTGACACTAAGAGGATTAATAATGCTATTGATTGTTTTAATTCATTGATTGAGAAAGATATAGTTCCTTATCTTCCTGTTATGAATATTTTTTTAAGTGAATTAGTCAAGAATGATATGATTTGTGAAGTGCGGGATGTGTATAATAAGATGGTTTCGAAAGGGGTTAGTGTTGATTGTGCCACAGTTAGTATATTGATTCGTGCATCCTTGAGAGAAGGAAAATTAGAGGAGGCAGTGGGGTGGTTTAGAGAGGCAAAGGATAAAGGAGTAGAGCTTGATGTCAGGGTGTATAGCATTGTTATTGAGGCTGTTTGCAGGAAGCCTGATTCTGTTGCAGCATGTGGATTGTTGACGGAGATGAGAGATAAGGGGTGGGTACCGCATGAGGACATATTTACGCGGGTTATTGGGGTTTGTATGAAGCAAGGAAAGATGGTGGAAGCATTGAAAGTTAAAGATGGGATGTTGAGTTGTGGGAAGCCAATGAACGTGGTGGTGGCAACGACTTTGATAAAGGGTTATTGCAAGCAAGGAGACTTGAATAATGCTCTAGAATTGTTTGATAAAATGAATGAGAATGGAATTTGTCCGAACAATGTTACATACGCGGTTATCATTGAATGGTGTTGTAAGAATGGCAATATGGATAAGGCTTATGAGATTTACAACCAAATGAAAAACAAGGACATATCCCCTACTGTCTTCAATGTGAATTCCTTGATCCGGGGATTCTTGAAAGCACGGTCACTTGAAGATGCATCCAAGTTGTTTGATGAGGCAGTTGAGTGTGGGATTGCTAATCTCTTCACTTATAGTTCTCTATTATCATGGTTATGTAACAAGGGTAAGATGAGTGAGGCATGCAGTGTATGGGAGAAGATGGTAAGCAAAGGTGTTCAACCCTCTGTACCTTGTTACAATAGCATGATCCATGGCCACTGCAGACAAGGCGATTTGGATTCAGCAAATGGTGTGTTTGTGGAGATGCTTGAAAAGGGTTTAAAACCTAATGTGATTACATATTCTGTTTTGATGGATGGCTATTTCAAAAAGGGTGACACTGAATATGCCTTAGATTTATATGATCGTATGCAGGGTGAAAATATTGTCCCATCGGATTTCACTTGCAATATTGTAATACATGGTTTGTGCAAAGCTGGTCGCACATCTGAGGCACAGGATATGTTGAAGAAGTTGGCCGGGGAGGGTTTCATTCCCTCCTGCATGACATACAACTGCATTATAGATGGATTTGCAAAGGAGGGCTCTATAGACTCTGCCTTGGCTGTTTATACAGAGATGTGCAAAAGTGGAGTATTTCCAAATGTCGTCACTTACACTAACTTGGTTAATTGTTATTGCAAGAGCAATAATATGGATCGTGCTTTGAAGATGCTGAATGAGATGAAAAACAAGGGTATTGAACCGGATGTTGCCTTATATGGTGCTGTGATTGATGGATTTTGCAAAAAAGGAGACATGGTAAGTGCAACCCAGCATTTCTCTCAACTCCTCGAAGTTGGGTTATCACCAAATAGAGTAGTCTACAGTTCTATGATAAGTGGCTTCAGGAATCTCCAGAATATGGAAGCAGCACTTAACTTGTACAAGAGAATGACAAGTGAGGGTATTCCTTGTGATTTACGTATTTACACTACACTGATTTCTGGATTGCTAAAACAGGGTAAATTACTCCTTGCATCAGATCTTTATGCAGAGATGATTGCAAAGGGTATCAGGCCTGATTTAATAGCTTACAGTGTTCTGATACACGGTCTTTGTAGTCAAGGACAGCTAGAGAATGCACGGGAAATTTTGGAAGATATGGATAAGAAATGTATGACCCCCAGTGTCTATATATATAATACGCTGATTGCTGGACACTTTAAAGAGGGCAATCTACAAGAGGCTTTTAGACTGCATAATGAGATGCTCGACAAAGGTCTTGTTCCTGATGATATTACTTATGATATTCTTGTAAATGGAAAAGTCAATGATGGAATATGGGCTGAGCCTTAACTGAGTTGAGATATGGTCCTTCAAGATACTGAAGCATATCATGACCGACATTAGCCGGCACTACATCTTTACCATTTCTCTTTGACGGTTAGTTACAAAATTCACTATTTTGGTTTGTTACTCTGAGCGGTTTAAGACAACTCTTTTGTGATATTTGTGTTTTACTGTTTTCCTATATTTTTACTAGGTTAAGAAAAGAGGATGGCTACAACAGCAGGGGAGATCCTGGGATTGGATTGGTTTGCTGTTTCATATTGGATGCCTATTGGCTTTGCAAATTATGATCAATGTTTATTGTATCAGCTCTACTTCAAACATCACTCCTGATGCATTTTTCTAATATTTAGATCCAGCTTTCCAATTCTTTCTGGTTCGCTCCTGGATTCCTCACTCGTCGAACTGTTGCTAAGCGGTTTTTACACCAGGTACTTTCTTTGATCTTTTCAAGAGTTCTTGTGGGTATGAATTTACTCCTACTGTCTGCAGCTACCACTGTGCTCCTAATCACTTGCTTCAGATCCCTTTTTATTGCTGTAAACGTGTTAAATAATAAATAATATTAATTATTACATCTCCTTGTGAAATTTTTGTAAGCTAACGAGCCTGTGTGTCACTGGTGAAAGCTTAGCAACTGATGTGATTTTGTTTTGCTTCCCTTGACACTTGGGTTTCAAGTAATATGATGTTGCTTATGACCTCAATTACGGTCAATGTGTGTTATCGAGATTAATTGACAGACTATTGCAATTTTTTGTTCCTGTAGCCGAATGCCAAATCAATCACCCTCTGTTCTGTGTGCTCTCTCTTGGACATATAAAGATGCCGACTGCAGTGCTTTTTATTGCTAATAGTTCACTGGGTGAGTGATGAGCGTGACTGCATGAAAAAGAAAGGTAAAGTGTGTTCCTTCCCCCCAAGAATTTGACATAGCTGGGGAGAAGTGACTTCTTGCTTACAATCTTTAAGGTATCAATTCGGCTGAATCAGATGTTGCTTGGACTCTCAAGATGTGCATGCGCCTGTGTTTGCCTCAGACTAAGGGTCACAGGGACTCTCCACGAAGACTGCCCTAGAGGGATGTGGTCTTGTCAGGTTAACAGTGCTAGATGACTGCCCAACCAAGACTGTTAATCGGTATCATTTAAGAGACAGGAGTGAAGCTTGGCCTTGTTGCAAGGCTCCAATGTCCACATATGCTCTCATCAAGTCATATTGGTAGGTAGGCTCTAAAGTTGCTAGTAACTTCAACATTACAAACTTGTAAAAAGTGAAGAGCTCTAGGCTTCAAAGTTGCAAGTAACTTCAGCATTCGAACCCCACATGTTCTCATCAAGTCGACACGTCACAGTGTATGCTACATGATATTATACTTTATCCTGTACTGATCATATTGATTGTGATCTCTAGGTCAGCAAAGAACACTCAACCTTTTCTTGTTGGTTTGGACATGAAAAGCTGAATGGGACTTCGATCACACGGTAAGGATAGCTTTTCCCTCTCTGAATCTTCTCGTCCCAAATGGGAGCATGATTTGATGTCAGGCTGTTTTATACTACCATAAGTGATTTTACCAAGCAAGCTAGCTAGCATGAATGAAAATCTGCTTTTTTATATTCTTTATGCACCATTACAACTTGGGAAATATCTTTCCTTGTGAGCTTGGAAAAGTTAAGCCCCATGTGATCAGCGAAATGAGCGAAGGCAGGCAGAGGCAGTGTGATGGTAAGATCGCTTCGTTTGTTGTGTGGCAGCAGCAAGGCTGCAAGGGGAGGACTTTGGCATTGAGAAATGGAGCATCAAAAAAGAAAAATGAAGAATTTGGAAGCCATTGCTGCTGTGTTATGCTCTGCAATATGCACGATGGGACTCTCATACTTCTGTTAAAAGGGTCAATTAAGCAATTATTAGTTGCTCATTTTTGCCTCTTCATGCTGTGGATTATGGTATACAATTCCTTAGCACCTTTAACTAACACTTTTGTTTGTTAAAAAGAATGGGAATGCAAAGGATGGAAAGGAAAAAGATTGGATGTTAACCCTTCATTTGCTTGTTTGGATAACAAGAAAGGAAAGGATCAGAACCATTTATCCAATTTGGAAGAATTGTTAATTACATGTTATGAAGCATAGGAGTGATCGTTTCTTTACTTTTTAAGGCTACATCCACCCAAAACCAAACGGATGAACACATCTCACCCCGTCTCTTCTACACTTTTCTTCCGTCCCCGTTTTCCCTACTTCTCTTCCTAATAAGTAGTGTGTAAAATGTTTTTTTTTTTTTTTTACCCATTTCGGTTTTAGTATAAGTTCTCCATTCAATGACCAACAATCAAACATGCAAGGGAACAAAAAAAATAAAATAAATAAAAAATAAAAACAAACTTTTTATCTATCTATTTTTATATTAACCATCAATCGAATAATTATTGCATAAACTTAGTTTAAAAACCCACATCGATCATATTAATCAATTTCACAACACTAATAATATAAAACGCATCGATTAACTTGATTGATATGGTTTACATAAACCGAGTCTATGGTGTAATATTTTCTATGGTCTTTATAATTGACTAGAAATCACGTGGAGTTGATAATCGTTTAGAAATCGATTAGACCACTACGAAAAGTTGAGGGACTAAATTGTCACTTCAAACATAAGGAGTATTGGCAACCTTAACTTCTACAGGGGGACGAGGAGAGACGAGGAGTCATATAAATCCACCTCAGGTGAATTTCTAGCTTCTTATATTATCCTTTTGATATTTTAGCCAACATGTTAATGTTGATATTTGGACACCGAGCATATGAATAACTATGATTCCATTAACCTTTGCTTATTCCACTTTAACCTAAGAATATACTATTCGGATAATGAATTTTCTTTTTCTTTTTGAAGACTGTCTCACTATTTCTAGGCCATAATAAGTTATGAATTACTCTTTTTATTTTAAAATATTAATTAATTCTTTTTTAAAAAAAAACTAATTATTTAATTCGTTAACCAATATTGACAATATTTAATTTAATATTGTTTTATTTCATAAAATATCATAGTTTCTCATAATCATTCTATATTTTTTACTTATATTTTTATTTTATTTAAAAAAGAAAAAAATGATTGAGTACAATAAAAGTTTAAAATATAGAAATAAATAATTAATTTTATATAAAAAGATTAATTAATTAATTTCTAGAAACACTCATTTATAATTTATATGCGTAAACAAATCGGCCCAAAGAATCTAAAACCCAACCCGAACACGCTCCCCATCCTCCAATGCACGACAATATCTCCAAAATCAGACGGTCTAGATTCGTGCGTCAGATTTAAGCCACTGAATTAGTTTGAAATTCGAAACCCTCGCAGCCTCTATCCTCTACATACACGTCATTTATCATATAAATCTTCACCCTCCACTTTACAAATCTCGCAATCACCAACGTTCCAGATCTGCCAACCTTCTGCAACTTACAGCACAAGATCTTCTTTAAACCTCTCCTTATAAAACCCTTCGAAGAACTAGCTCACAAATCCCTCTTATTCTGCCTCTCTCTCGATTTTTGCTGCTTTGAAAAATTAACACAAAATGGTGAGTTCTTTTTCATTTTTAAATATGAGTTAAATTTCTTCAGTTAGATCTATATTGCAATATTGCTTTTTTACTGATAATTTTTATTGCGTTTTTGTTAATTTTAGGCATTGCCAAATCAGCAAACTGTTGAATATCCAAGCTTCAAGCTTGTAATTGTTGGTGATGGTGGTACAGGTATATATATATTTTTTTCCAGCGAGGTTCTGTTCGTTAATTCTGTGCTGGTGTTTTTGTTTAATTTTTGGGTTTTTGATCTGGGGTTTGGTTGCTGTTTGTGTTGATTTGTAGTTTTTTTTTTTTGGCATTTGGAGTTTTGATATTTTTTCTTGGAAAACGTTCGCCTTTATTTTTATTTTTATTTTTTTATATAATAAGACTGATTTTTACTGTTGTTTGCGATTTGTGGTTTTGATTTTCTTGATATAAAACTTGGGTTTGATTTTTATCTTCTGGGTATTTGACAAGATGGAGGTTTGAGGTTATTTATTTGTGAAAATGGAATTTTTTTTTTAACTTGTGGCCTCTGTTGGCTGTGAATTGCAGGGAAAACCACATTTGTTAAGAGGCATCTTACTGGAGAGTTTGAGAAGAAATATGAGCGTAAGTTTGATTATATTTTGTTTGTTATTGTCATATAATCTATTGTTTTGTTTTTATTATTTAGCGTGCATGTTGTTTATTTATTGATTGATGTGTTTTTGGTGAATACAGCAACCATTGGTGTGGAAGTTCACCCCTTGGACTTCTTCACTAATTGTGGCAAACTTAGATTCTATTGCTGGGATACAGCCGGCCAAGAGAAGTTTGGTGGTCTTAGAGATGGATACTAGTAAGTGATTAGCTGTTTTGTTTGTTTTAATCATGAATTTTTGGAACAAGTTCATATTGGTGTGTGTTAATCATGTATTTATGCTGTTGGCTAAGGTTTAGACAAATCATCTCAGTTGCTTAGTGGTATGTCATGCATCATGTCAGTTTGCTTGTTAATGTTATTCATTGGGTTTTATGCAATTAGGATGATTTAGTTCATTGTTGGAAGTTTATATCTTATTATCCTATGTGTAATTTTATGTGCTAGTTGTGAGATATTGATTTATGAAAAAGATGAAAATGCTAAGGATTTCTTTGATTAATTTCATTTTGATGGGGAATTGGTCTGCCAAGGCTATTTGTTCATGCTATATCTTAGTTGGTGTCGCAGATTTTGAGTGATGTCTTAGTTTCACTTTTCTGTTTTGAGTGTATCTGGATAATATTTCTGTTTAGAGGGGTTTGATCTGTGTTGTATCTCTAGTGATTTTTTTTTATTGAACCTTTTTTTAAACGTGTATTGATGGATTAGTTTATATGTCTTTAAGGTGTATTCTGGAATTTAGCAAACTTTTTTGTTTGTATCGTAGTCCTATTTTATTCCATGGAAATTGTGATGATATCTGTAATTTTCTTTATTGGTATCCTGAATTGACTAACTGTGTGACAATTGTGCTTTTGGTGCAGCATCCATGGTAATTGTGCTATCATCATGTTTGATGTTACTGCTCGGTTGACATACAAGAATGTCCCTACATGGCATAGAGATTTGTGCAGGTGTGTTTTTGAGTTCTTTTTTTCTGATCTAGATTTAATTCAATTCTTTTTGTCAAGCTGATTGAAACCATTATATTGATCACTGTGTGTTGCCTCTTCAGGGTTTGTGAAAACATTCCTATTGTGCTTTGCGGAAACAAGGTTGATGTGAAGAACAGGCAGGTGAAGGCCAAGCAGGTCACCTTCCACCGTAAGAAGAACTTGCAGTACTATGAAATTTCGGCGAAGAGCAACTACAATTTCGAGAAGCCGTTCTTGTACCTTGCCAGAAAGCTTGCTGGGTAAAGAATAACTGTTTTTTAAACTCAAATGCCTCACCCTTTTATGATTTCTCTTGACCATACCAATCAGAATCTAATACCTATCTGAAATGGTTTCACAACTGCAGGGATCCCAATTTGCATTTTGTTGAGTCTCCAGCCCTGGCTCCCCCAGAAGTTCAAATTGATCTGGCAGCACAGGCACAGTAAGTTTTTTGTGTCATTTAAGCTTAGCTCTCCTCCATCTCTGTTGCTCTTTACTCCATGGATGTTTACAAATCTGTGTGTACATTTTGTGCATTGTTTATACAGAGCAAAAAAATAAAATAATAACAATAACGAGAGTTTTTCAGTTTCAACTAACATAAACTTACACAAAAGTATTTGTTGTTGCTCCTCACTGTTAGTGTGTTTGATTATAGAAGAGGGCTATTTGGTTCTTTTCTATGAATGGTTGATGTAGCTTATGTCGTGACCCGCCCCTCTTTCCTTTCTTCGGGTCTGTTTCTATATTGTCAGTTACACTCCATCAGTTTTGTACTTAACCTTTGTTTTTGCTGCTGGTAATTTCAACAGCCATGAGGCAGAACTTGCTGCTGCTGCAAGTCAACCACTTCCAGATGACGATGATGATACATTCGAGTAAAGAATTGAAGAGGCGTTGTCATTGTTGGGAGAGGCTTCGATTATATGGTTTTGAGGATATTGATTTATGTCCTTTGACTTGTATGAATATAAACTGAATGATTTCAGGTCTATTACGGACCTGTTTGTTGAGTTGCTCATTTCATCATTTTGTGGGGGTGTCTTGCTTTGTTTATTCCATCCTTCCTACTACAGTTTTATGCTACTTATTGATGTTTGTAGGATGTTATTAGTGACGCGTTATATCCATAATTTGCTAGCATCTTGCTGATTACATTGTTTATAATTACGGCTTTTCTCGTGGGCTGCATATGATGTGATTTGAGGTGGTTTCCTGTTGCCCCCTGTAATTTTTTAAAACCAAGGTGGGGCTTCACTTCCATTCCATAAAACTACTACACTGAACTACTAGATTGGTTCCGGATGTTTTGTGACCGCACTTTCAAATGAATATGAAGCAAACAAGAATTTGGCATATAGCCTGTCGCTCAAATTGGCCTTTGTGTCTTGGCAAACAAGAATTTGACTAGCTGGCAAAACATCACCTGCTTTTAAAATTCTCTTCATTGTTCTAAAGGGCATGCACCCTCTGCTCTCTCAAACGGAAAGAACTATTAGGAATCTGCCAAAAGATGAAGAATTTGAGCACAATGACTGCATTAATGCACAAGTAAATGGATTGATTCTATTCAAAATATTTAAATTCCCCATCAGAAATTGACAATCCAACAAAAGTTGGAATATCCAATAGTGTTAACTGTGTAAGTGGTTGGGCAGACATATTGGCCACATTTTGAAAGAAAACAGAAAAGGGCTGCTTCAACTATTGAAGACAAAACGTATAAAACATGAATTAGAAACTTTTACCTAGTTTCTTGTTGACGAATCCGAAACAGCATCATAGAATGAAAAAGCCTATGTTCTCCTAAGATCCTCTATAGGAATACTCGCCAGACAAAAATAAAATATCCGTTAGCAAAGGACACTACAAATCAAGCTAGCTAGCTAGGGGATAAAAATCAATGTCCTCTCTTCTATTTTCCCTGTTCCAAACCAAACACTTGCCATACTATGAAATGGGTTCATTTTCCAGGAACGGTAGAGTCCTCAAGCTGGTGCATCTTGAATGCTTTGCTGAGATTCATAAGTATCCAATATCCGCTGCTGAAGTCATGAAAAAGAAGCCAAGGCATTTCATTACGCGTCCAGATGTGTTCAGATTTCCATGGATATAGTGATTCGTCCGGAGTCCATGTTGAAGCCTGGAAATGTCTTCGTTATTGTTCCACACCTGTTCATCGTTTATTACAAACAAGCAAATCTCGTATACAAGCCTCTCTAATGCAGCAACAAGATCATTTTCTTCCATGTCACGACGAAAATTGTGCAGCAGGATCATGGGCTGAACAAGAAGTTATGTGGGCAGATGATGATTGATTAATTCGTTTTCCTCAAGAAATTAAAGGCATTCAATGGAGTAGATTGCAATTCCATCTACTTCTGGAGAAACAATCTCTTCCGATATGACAAGCACGAGCTAAAGTAGATTGCAAGTTTGAAGATGAAGATGGTATTTTCCCAATGGATTTAATTGACTCAAAAATTAAACAATTCCTTGAACAATGCCCTGGTCAACAATCATTAGGCAAGGCTCGCTTCGAGGTGAACACTCAACAATATTTTGATGATTCACCAAAGAAACTTTACCCAGCCAAGTTTTGTCCAGAAGTCGGTGCTTACAAAAGTCGCAGAAATGAGTGAAGATCGTCATTTTCATTTTCGTCACAAAGCACTTCGAGTGATGCAGAAATTGTTTTTCCTTTACCAAAAGATGACAATGGGGGTTTAGATATTAGCAGTTCTCAGGAGGAGAAAAGGTTGAAACCCTGTTTGAAGAAGAACAACTTCACTAAAACGCGTAATTTCAGAGTAAAATTTGTTCTTCCAGATGGGGATGAGAAAAGTTAAGTGTGAAAAAGTCTCGAGTTTCAATCAATGTAGTCTCTTTAGCTTTTCTTTTCTTTTATGTCAAAAACGATAAAAAAAATTCTTAGTAGAAACATAGCAGTATAAGTCTATCAGTACAAATTTTAAGGTATATCTTCCATTAAACAGTATACAAGTAGGGAGCAGGTGGATATCTGAGGACATTGGAAACTACAGGGTTGAAAGCTTTCTAGAGTTGAACAAATTTGGGGTGGTTTTTGTCAAAATTTTTGTTGCTGACAGAAAGCTGAAGGGGGCATTTGTAAAATCTGGAAACTTTTTGGTAGCATATATAGTCACACATCAGGGAAAATTTGGAGGGTGTGTACTAGGATGATAAGTCTCTGTATGATGATGTCCCTGGTGCTTTAAATACCATGTCTGTGATGCTAAAGAACTCTTCTAGATGACGCTGGAAAGTGAAAACCTTCAGCTGAGGTACTTTTTTCTTTTTCATCACATTGCCATCTTCTTGGGAGTTGTTATCCGTCACTGCAACCACTCCGAGATGGTTGAAGATGTTGCCAGATGATTTGTGTTCTGTTACTGCTGCTGTTCTGGGTTCAAGTTGCAGGCTTTCTATAGGGATTGCAGTAACCCATGAATACACTGCTGTGTTCACCCTTCTGTTTCCTTTTTCAATTTGCCTCTTGGTGATGGTGTTTCAGCCATTAACTTGTAGGCAACTTATAAAACTTTCTTTAACAATTAAACAAAGTTTCTGATCACATCCACCAAAATAGAAAAAGTAATCCCATACCTTCGAAGAGATCTGTGCAATTTATTCCAGATTAGTTGTACGCAAGAAGTTCTCCTTTATTGAGGGGGAGAAGCAGCGGGGAATCTGATATGGAGATGCTGTCTTGAACTTGCATGATTTAGAAATCTCCCAAAAATTAATGAATCTGAGCTGTAATTTAAAATGAAAAGCAAAAGTCATTCACTATTATGAATCAAGTTCTATAAACTCTCACTGTCAATTGTAAATAACTAGATAACTGATTTCAGATTGTTGCTTAGTTGTCGTTGTAATTAATTTTTTCAACTGTAATATTTAGCATATTTAGAAACCTGTCAAAAGATAGATCTAAACATTTAAGATTAAAATCAAAAGAGCAAAAACATTCCATAATACATACCATCTTACAGGGTGGAACTTTATGGCTACAGATTGTATTCAAATCAACGACGTTGACTCTACGAAAATTTCTTCAAGAGTATATTCATGGGAAGATACTTACCTTTATAAAGTTTCCAGACGCCCCTGCAGGGGATGAAATCCATGTAACTGCACCCCATTATGGCTCCAGTGAATAAATTGCCACTGTAACCTGGGTTGACTTTCTTCTTCTCGGTCACCATTTCTCAATATGTTTACCAAACCTTGGGTTATAAAATCAAATCAAACAAGAAAAGAAGAAAATCACATGCATGATTCAATCTCAAAGTTTGAGATGACCTTCCATATCAGAATTTCCTGGTAGCCATTTCAAAGCTCTGCTTTGACTTCCTCCAGTGTAGGTTCTTTACATGATTCCAGCACACCTGAAATGGACTACAGTATCAGAGTAGAGGTAACAATGATATCAGCACCTCGCCATTATTTGCAAATATTACACCAAAGACCAAACTCATTGAGCCAGAAAAATGATGGTGAACCCCAGGTCCCCAGCATCATCTTTAGACCTTTGGAAGCAACGTTGCATGCATCCAACAGTGGCCCTGGAAAATGCATGGGACGTGTTAATAACATCCTTAAAACTGGAATTTCTTCAGTCAACACCAAGAACATTGAATACCTGCTTTCTACTCTTAACTTCACTAAAACGTGACCAAAAGGAAAGAAAAAAGAGAAATAATAAACATGACTGTCACTGGCCAGGTGATGTAACATATACATTGTTGCAGGTTTCACATTCACATTCCACAACACGAAATTGTAAACCAAATCTCCCAAAGTTTCACTAAACAACCAGTGATCATTCTGACACGCATAATAAGAGAAAAGGCCAACTTTCTGCATATCCAGAACATTCAACGCAGATGCACAATTTTTTCACAATCAAATATCAGATGGAGGCAGAACCTTTTAACTTTATCAGCCTATCCAAAGTTCTACATGCAAAAACAAAAGATGCTAAAAAAAAAATTTGCAATCTTGGTAGCTGGCAATATTATTCTCGCACATATGATTGCTATTAACATACATAAAACGGTTACAAGTTCACCGGAAAAGAAAGGGGGAAAATGGAAGAGAGAGAGAGAGAAGATCAGCACACGCAACATCAGAACGAGCCTTGAAATATCATACTGTATCAAGAATCCAAATTACAAATTTTCACTGGCTAAATCACCATGACTCAAGTATAATAAATCTACAAAATGTAACAATTTCATCCTGCTTGTTACAATGATGTGAGGCAACGATAACCATGAAAAGAATCTGCTTCTAAAAAGGAAAAATTACTTTTACCTAAAAAGGAAAGAGAAATATTAACTGATATGAATGCTTGTTCTGGTGGAAATTAAGTTCCTTAGCTCCGCCAAATGTTCATCATTTGAAACGTTAAGAGATATGCGGAGATTAGTGAGCAATGCTTCTTGTTCCCAACTTAAGGGCCCAGAAGCATACAAGGCCTCTATAGTGCAACGATATGCATGCAACTCTAACCTATGGATTCCTGCAGCTAAATCCTCCCCCAAGGGAAAGGAACATTTTTCTTCTTCATCCCCAAAGCCATAAAAGGATTCAGCATCACTACTAAGGTTATCTGCATCAGGACTATTAGCTCCTACATTATGACCAAACAAATTGCTTGGACTGCCACTCGCAACACTACAACTACCGACAGAGCATGCATCACTACCAGAATCATTAGGTTCCACTCTTCTTCCACAAAAAGAGTTGACAGCATAATTTGGTTTTCCCCTCTCCATTTCAGTATATCCAATTGCTTGATTGTTAGAGGAAGCATGCATGTGTATTTCACCCAGACGTTCTTGTGGGTAAGCAACAGCATCTACCTTTTTCAGCAATGAGGACGGATACTGTGATATCACTCGTTGATCCTCACTGTGTTTCTTAATTGCCCTTATTTTGTCAACCTTCCTGGTATATGCTACAAATTCAGATGACCAAAAAGGGGATGCTCTCTTGGATGTGCTGGCTTCCTGGAAACCAGTGTTCTCATCAGCTAAACGATTGTCTCCTTCTTGCAGTCTCCTCTTCCTATTGGCTTGCAGCATTGGAGACCTCAGTTTCTGATAACTCCTCAAAGTTGATGGTTTATTGGACTTCACATTTTCACAACTGCCAGAACCCTGAAAACAATAGGAAGTGCACAAATTACAAGTCAAGACAGACAGCCAATAAAAAGCGCATGTTAAAAGTTGCTGTTGACAAAAGTTCGAATCACCAGCCAAGGTCAGGAACTATTACCAGTTCATGAACCATATAACTTGGTTAACGACGACTAACACAAACAAGGAAACCAAACATGATCAAGTAAAAACATAACCAGAAAACAACTGGGCGGTATTAACTTACCTTTCCAATGCCGATCCATTTACCATCTTTCCATAATTGGCGCACCCTGATGCTAACTTTTCTAAGTTGAAGTTCCGTCGAAGATCCAACCAGCCTAACCAAATAGTAATCTCCACCCATAACCTTCAAAACTGCAGCTGTTTTCCAAGAAAGATCAGTGAAAACCTCCACCAAATCACCAGCAGCCCAGCCATCCGAAGCATCAGCAGGAGGAGGGCATGGCCTGATGACTTTTCTTGACACCCGCTCCACATTATCCTCGTTATTCAATCCCCAAGGACAATCATACCTTACCCAATAAGCAGATTCATTCTCATTCCCCGAGATAATCTCACCACACTGCCATACACCCGAAGGCACCTCCTTTTTCCTCAACACCTCAACTCTACGTCCTTTCTTGAACTTCATGTTATCTGTGTCGAAAAATCCCGAATTCCCAAAAACCTGCAACAACCAGGAAATTAAGTTTCATAGTCAGAAACCACTTAGACAATATCAAACATTGGGAAAGCTTTCATGTCTCTATGCATAGAAAAAATAAATCTGAGCCCGAAATAAATATTTTTAATCAAAACAAACACTACAAGCCTAGAAACAGAAACAAATACTCTATTCAGATTAATTAATTAATTAATAATCACAATTAATCCCCAACATTAGTAAATGAAAAGTTTGATCTTTCTTTAAACAAACTCCTTTTGTTAGAGACACAAACTATTTTTTAACAATTAAAAACAATAACCAAAACCCCAAAAAAAAAAAAAAAAAAACTACTTGCTTTTTCAACAACAATTCCTTAGTTTGACAACCTTACAGCACAGGTAATAAAAAAAAAAAAAAAAAAAGAGAGTTCAAGAAAACCTCCATAAATAATTTTAAATTCAAATTAAATCAATAATCTGGATAAATTCATAGATATACAAAAATTGATAGAGAGAGCAATTAAAAATGTGAATTCAATTAATTTCTTCAAGGCATTAATAAATAAAATAAAATTTAAGAAAGAAAAACAGAATTGAGAAAAAAAATATAATTTCACTGACCTTGCTCTTGCGGTGATAACCGATGAAAAATTCGATCAGAGAGAAAATTTGAATTTTTTTTTTCAGGTTTATGATTTTCAATTTGAATGAGACCTTTTATTTATTATTATTAGTTTTTCCTTAAGAAAAAAACAGGTCTTTTCTTTACTTTTTACCTTTTTCAGTGAAGAATGAAAGATTAGCAGTTAGGGAAGCGAAGGTAATGTAATTTTGTTATTTTGCCCTTTTTACTACGTGGGATTTAAGTTTATTGAATCTCTTCACTAAATTATAAATTTCCTCCCGACAAAAAAAAAAAAAAATTGAAAAATTGATTAAAAAAAGAAGAAAAAACTTAAAAAATCGTTTCAATTCCTTTTTTCTCTATTAGTAGATAAAATAAAAGAAATTGAAAGAATTTTGATGAATTTTTAGTCAATTTTTCATTGAAATTCCAACGAAAAGAATATGATTTAAAAAATAAATCAGAAATGTTTTAATTGAAGAGGTATTTGTTTTTAATTTTTTTTTTCAAATTCAGGGATTTTTTACAGTTTAGCCGAATCTAATAGCAAGAGAAAGAATCGAAGTATGGGGCCCAAGGGGGTGGGCCCTATCTTCAGTATTGTTGTTCCGTCAATCACATAAAAAGGAATCGGATTATTCGAATAAAAATACAAATAAATCAGAAATATTTAGTAATTTCTTCTTTACATAGATTTCACTTTTTTTTTTTTTTTTTAATTAACCTATCGAGCTATACAATAAGAATAATCCTCCTCGTTAGATAATCATTAAAGAAACTAGAGTCATAAAAAACCTGAGTCGACGTAGCAAACAATTGTTCATCTTGAATTAATTTGTAGATTGCTCCAAAAGCCTTGGCAAGTTTGTATCGTTCATACCTATAAAAAAGTCAATCCCATAATTGACTGGCTTGTCTCTCATACTTACTCTCTTCTACTTAGAATTTCGTACCTTAAAAATGCCCCATCAGGATGCATCAGCCTCCTCTTAGAGGATATTTGCAGCGTGATCTCTCCTACATCATGTAACAGCTAATTTATCTGATTTACAATTTATTCTCTCCCTAATTTGAAATATATATATATATATATATATAACTGCGATTGGCTAAATTCACAGATCCAAACCACCTAATAATTTTGCATCATGACCTTAATTAATTAGCTTCCAATGATGCATGTTCCACGGAGACTCGAAAGCTTCACATCGTCAGTAACAGGTCCACACAGAGAAGATAAGTCATCACTCCTCATGGTCTAAAATTAATGTACTGCAGAACATGATTCTTGTTCTGTTAGAAACAGCAACAAATTTAAGCACTGTACGCTTAAATCCACCTTTGCCCTTGGACTCATAAGGAACTTTGAGTGTGTCCTTGCCGGCAAACGCCTCGCCACCATTGACCTTTCGTATGAATTGCTGGCATCTCCTACGGCAAACGAGAGGGTATAGGTTTTGCTGGAGAATGATTATCTTCAGTGTTGGGTGGGATTAGGACACCCCAGGTTGTGTTAGGTAACAAATATGGAACTTCTTCAAAAACCCAATTTTTCATTATGTTCTCTGCAAAATTTAGAATAAAAAGATAAGCTGTTAGCTTTAATTCAACGTTTTGGTGTTTATAGCAGGAAGCAAGGACCTAAGCATTAAGCAGTCATTGATTAATACTAGGCTGAGCGTAGGTCAAGTTGCAGTCTGCTACTTTAGCATATTAACGTCTC